CCAGCTTCCCCGTGAACGCTGGCCACCCATGGAAGGAGCTGGCAAGAGGCTGGACCCCCAACCAGTGGGAGCCTTCCCATGTGTCCCCAGCACAGCGGAGAGGAAAGCTACGTGTTCTGCCTCTATAGCGTTGTGCAGCCTGTGCGCCTGGCTCTTTCACGGAAGTCACACCGGGCCCACCTTGCCCTCAGAGGAGGCAGATGAAGGCCCCAAGGCTGTCCCTCCCCAGTCCCCGCCATGTGGCAGGGCAGTCACAAAACCGCCCGCAGACACCGAAGTATCCAATCTGACTAAGCTGTGCACATGTATCTGTCTCTATGGATTGGTGGGCGTGGAGTGAAGGATGTAGTTGAAATATGTGTAGGAAAAACTATAAGCCAACACATGTCGACTCCAATGAACCAGCTCTAGTTAAGAGTCCCATTTTTGAATACCTTAATTTTAAAAACTGGAAAAAAAAAGGAAAAAAATTCCCTTCTTGTCAGGGTTGGTGCCATCTGATAGGCAAAGGGACATCGGATGGGGTGGGGAGAGGACAGCAAGGCTGCCCGTCCTTCGGAGCTTATTTTGGGGGCTCATTGTGGGGTTAATGACAGCAGGGTTGGGAAGGCAACTGGCCTGAGGCATTTGTTTTAAAGAGAAGGGGCAGGGAGTTTGGGAGAGAATTTCATATGGTCGAGACTGCTATTTCCTACCCAGTATCCATTTTCTATTTCTTCCTTAGTAACAGACCCCTGAAATGTGAGGGACAGCTGACAATAAAACTAAAAAAAAATTTCCAAGCCTCCTTTGCTGTAAGGAGTAGCCACTGAGATGTAAGAAGTTGAGGACAGTTTTAAGAAAGCTCTCTAGGGTGGAGGGTATAGCTCAGTGGTAGAATACAGTGCTTAGCAGGCACGAGATCCTGGGTTCAATCCCTGGTACCTCTATTACAAAAACAATAATAGTAAGTAAACCTAATAACCTCCTCCCCCCAAAAAAGAAAGAAAGCTCTCTAAAAGGGGGCTGAATTATCTAGAAAGAAGATACCCTTTTGTCCTTCCCTTGCTTCCTCTTTCTTCCTGCTTGGAATGTAGACATGATGGCCGGAATCCCAGCAGCCACTTTAGAATTTAAGGTGACTTTGAGGTTAGAAGCCACTAGCTGAGGGATGGCAGAATAGGAATCTCTAAAGACTGTGGACCTGGCAGATCAAGCCCAACTGTGGTTGTTTTTTGTTTTTGTTTTTGTTTTTTGGGAGGGAAAAATAATCTCTATATTAATTAAGTTGTAGCAAATCATGGCTGTGGAGAAAAACAGATTCACAAAACAACCTGGGTTGGTATTTCTTAAAATTGGTATTGACATTCATTTTCTACCTCCCAAGGCCTCTCCCTGCTTGACTTTGTTCATGGGACATAACCTCATAGTTCTCTCTTCAGCCAGGTGCCTGAACCCTGGAAATGGCACACAGGCTAAATTGTGACCTTTAGTTAAAAGAACCCAGGGGATGCCGACTGCTGAGCTCTGACTGACATGTGGCAAAATAGAAAGAGAATGTGAGGCCCTCTTGGTTCACATCCAACATAAAACCAACTAACCACCACATAGTTCGCTGAACAAGAAAGCAAGGAGAGAGGTAGGTGAGAAGGGAGGGTCCACTCTACATAAATGTTTAAAGCTAAGCCTCCTTAGGAGGTAACCATCTCTACCTTCTCAAGGAGATCTATACAGAGATCTGGAAATTTTAGAAAATATAAAAGGTCAAATGACACTTCAGTAATACTGAAATACAGAACATCATTTCCCCCAGGAAAGCCCAAAGGTTAGTCTATAAAATCGTCCCATTTCCTGGCAAACTCAAAGAACAGGACAAGCAGGAAAGTCATTTAGGTGCCTCCAAACTGTCCTTTTTGCTCCAGAGCTCAGCCACCGCCACCTCTCCAAACCCCCGCCAGCAGGAGCTTGCTTACCCCTGGGCGGGGGGGAGTTCCCCGCATAATCTGGATCCTAACGTCTCCTGTCCTAAAATTCTATAAGTCTGGTGGGAAATGGAAGTTTCCGTGATCGCAGTGAGTGATCTAAGGCTGTCCGTATGTGAGCTGATTCTCCAAGGAAGCCAGACAGTCGCATTTAAAACTGAGACATTACTGCCACCTGTTGACTCACTATTGACAAGTTACACAGGACAATCAGCCCAGCAGGAGATAGGGTTGCTTTTAAAATCCGGGCAAATTGGAGGGGAAGATGATGATCATGGCCGAAATCTGTGGATGAAGGGCAACTTTCTAATAAAGCCTTTCATGAAAATGTTTCATTCAACACAATAAATACATCTTGTCCCACTGAAGGAAGATTTTGTCAAAACGCTTCTCAGTAGCTTGTACTTTGAAAAGCATTTTTGTGTGCAGCTATCTGATCTTTCCATCCACCTTCAGAGGTAGGGAGGGTGGCTTACTCCAATGTACAGATGGAAACACAGAGGCCCAGAGAGGGGAGATGACTTACCTGGAAGAACAGAAGCCTGAGCCCCTGTGTGGGGCTCTTTCCCTCATGTCTGGGTGTCTCTGGCACCGAGGATTAGGAATTTGGGTAGCAAGCTTAAGTACAGACAGTGGAGGCAGAAAACCAGTCCATCACCCTTCACTGCCATCCTCATCCTTTCTGCTCAGTCTTGAGAAAAGTCAGGATATTGTAACTGAATGTTAATAAGTTGGGAAGCTGACTACCATGAGCGCCCTGCCCGAGGCCCTTGTTACCAGCTGGGAGGAGGGGACCCCCAGGCACACGAAGAAGGGGAAGACCTGGCTGCGGGAGAGACAGACGCCCCGAAAGCCTACCTTGATGCTCTGAGCGCCGTTCCGCTGTAGAGAGGGACAGAGGCCGCTGCTGACTGCGGGGACCGCTCTGAGGTTTGCCGGCCCTTTGCCCCTGAGCACGGATCTCCGGAGGTGAGCTCTGTGAATCATCCTCCTTCTCCACTACTCCGAAGAGTGTTCTCCAAGACGACTTCTTCTTGGCAAGGTGTACGGCCTTCTCGCTGGATTGGGAATTTCTGCACGGCCATGGCCCCTGAGCCCAGGCCTCGATTGCTGGCCCCGGTCCTCTCTGGGACAAACTTCTTGTTCTCAGGGGCTTTGGTGAGAGGACAGCAGAGGTGTTCCTGAAGACATGGTGTTTGACGTAGAACTCCAGGATTTTGAATTCCATGCTGTCTGGGTCATCGTCATCCAGGGGAATGTCCTCCAGGTCACAGGTGCTGGTGGTACACATGGAGGCCCTGCAACGACAAAGTCCACACATGTCCTTCTACCCATGACAACCTACTCTCTGTAGGTCAGGAGAGATGGAGTGTAACTCAATATGCATTTTTTTCCAATATGCATTTTTTGAACATCTATACTCTCTGTGCTGGGAGGCAGGAGGGAATCTGAGATGCCAGGGTTCCTTCTGCAAGTTCAGTCTTACAGAGATGAGGAAGAGAGACATGTTCAAGGATGAGGCCAAACAAAGAAAGTGAGCGATGAGCTCCTACAGAGATGCAGGAGCCAGTGTGGAAGACAGGGGAGGAAGAGACAGTTGCAGACAGAGGGTGAGTGCAGACCCCTTGAAGGACAGAAAGGGTTGAGAGGGGATGGAAGTTGGGGCTAAGAACAGAGGTAGGCAGGGGGTGAATTTAGGATGTGTTTGAAGAATGGTGAGACCCGATAGGGCATAGGCCTGTGCTTTGAGGGTAGCTGGGACTCAGGGAGGCAGAGGCACAATGGTGAGATGGCAGTCGGAGCCAGGTGATGCGGGCCTATGAGAATCAGGCTGAAAGCTTTGCATTTTCTCATGTTGATTGATCAATACATTTCAAAACGGGCCCTAGACCATGGAAGGCACTTAAAAAGTCTTCATGGGAGAGAGTAGGTGGGCAGAGAAGGAGGCCAGCGCAGGAGAGGGAGCTGTATGGGGTCCCTGGCCCTTCTCATCCTCTCTCCCTTCTTCCTTTACCCTCTGGTTTAGCTGGGACAGATTTCCACCATTCCTTGCCATACTTGGCATTCCGTGTAAGATATGAAGCCTGCAATTTGGCTGGCTTTCCCAGCTCCTAACATAATGCCTTACACATGGTAAGTTCTCCATAAATATTTGATGAATGAAAGTAAAATAATTTAGAGCTGCCAGGTAAAATACGGAACATCTAGTCAAATTTGAATTTCAGAGAAACAACAAATAATTTTTTAGTATAAGTATGTTGCTAATATTGTCCCCAACAATTATCCGCTGTTTATCTGAAATTCATACCTAACAGAGCCTCTTGTATTTTTATGCAAATCTGGCAACTCTGTGAATGAAAGGTGCTGCTTAGAAATATCGAGACCTGAGGTTCTTGGAAGCGAGTAAAGTAGACTCAGCGTGAAGACTGAGTGAACTGAGACACCCGAGAGAAAGCCAGAAAGGGCAGGAGAGAGCCAGGCATGTGGTCAGAGCTCTGGGCAGAGACTCAGTGTGGAAGGGACTGGACCGGGTTGGAGGGCAGCGCTGGACTGTGTTGGGGGAGGATTGACACAGTTTTTAATTCGAAACTTCCTTTTGAATTGTGCTGCTCAGGACGCTGTAGGCAGGGTGGGCACCTGGGGCCTCCAGGAGCTGTGCCTTTGTCAGAGGGAGGATGTGCCCCCTCCTCTGGCCACAAGATGATGCTTCCAAGAAAACATGTAAGTTAAAAAAAGAACACAAACCTTTCTTTGATCATCTTCAATTTCCTTCATCAATGTTTTACAGTTTTCAGAGTATAGGTAACCTCCTTGGTTAAGGTTATTTCTAGGTATTTTTTGATGCAATGGAAATGTTTATGCCAGTTATAAAATTCTGGTTTTTGAAGGGAAAAAAAAAAGTGAATGAAGGCCTGCAAATGGCAAAATATCCGTTCTTATGAGTGAGCTGTATTCCATTACATGTATATTACATCTTCTTTACCCACCCATCTATTGATGTGCACTTAAGATGCTTCCATATCTTGGCAATGATAAATAATGTTGCTGTTAATAGCGGAGTTTATGTATCTTTTTGAATTAATCCTATTTTGTGGCTGGCTTTATTCCTTTGACAACTATGTAAGTTTAAAAAGCTAAAGCTCTAAACGTTCTTAGAAACAATGAACGGTACCTATATGTGAATTTTAAGAATATGTGCAGTATATTGCGTATATGTGTTTACATTCACTACCTTGTACATGTGCAGTCAAACTGTAACAATTCTACCTAATAAAACTGAAAAAAAATGA